GAGAGGATGTTTATGATAGACCTTCAGCTCAAAAATGACGGAAAAAAACAACATATAACATATACAGTTCGTAAAAGGATTTCGGAGTCCAAACTTCCACACATGGCTATTGGTAAGTGGTGCTGAATATATAGCTTCATAGTTCATATATAATAACCAATGTCGAAATGGGATGCCGAATTGGTTATACATTGAAAAACCTTTTAGAAACATAATGGACAGCTACCAATGTGAACTACAACAAGATTCCACAAACTTCAGTATTTACATTTGCTACAACACATATTCTTTTGTAACATGATTTACAAATCAATATCCTCTGTACATGAAGATCAAACAAAATTAAGTATAACATCCACTTCTGATCTCATTCAAACAGAGGGATTAGGATAATCATATTACAACGTTTTCTACCATTGCCAATTGGCTTAGCCAAGGAAGCAACTTTTCATGGACAAGATCAGGCCTGTCATCGTGAGGGCAATGTCCGACTCCTTCCAAAAGAAATAGACTCACATTTGGTTTTTGAGAAGGTAAGGATGAGAAGTATTTACCAACAGGGCCATCAATTGGGGTAAATGGATCTTGATCACCCCATAAGACAAGGATAGGGAGTGTAATTTTTGGGATCAACTGCACTGGATTTGGCCCCGGCGGACCTGTCACAATGGACACAAAAGCATCGAGCGCGCCTTCATCATCTGCTGGTCCCTTAATAATCTCCACCAAATCTTCATCCACAGACTCCTTATTCCCATAAACAGACAACAAGATATTCTTTAGATTTTCTCTTTGTTTGACCCGATTAAAGATTGCAGAAGCAACTGATCTTTGGTTCAATAAGAAATCAACAAGCCAGAGTAAGGGCAATAGTAACTTAATCCTCCAATCATCAACAATTGCCTTGTTATTCATGCCTCCAGCACAGTTCAACAAAACAAGCCCTTGAATGGATGTTTGGGAAGGATCTGCAGCAGCTATTACGCAAGCAAGGCTTCCAACAGAGTTCCCTACCAATACAGTTGGTCTTTGAATAATTTCATTCGCAAAATCCAATATTAACTGAGCCCAAGATTCCATGTTATATTCATATCCTACTGGTTTGTCAGAAGCACCAAAGCCAAGGAGGTCAATAGCATACACTGTGTAGTTTTGAGCGAGCATCGCAATGTTCCGGCGCCAGTGGGCGACTGAGGCACCAAAACCATGAACTAGGAGTAGAGAAGGATGAGAAGTGTTTTCGTTGCGTGCTTGATAAACCAAGTAGTTTATGTTGTAATCTCTCCATACCCATGTTTTGCATACTGTCTTAATCTCGTTCACCTCAAGCGGTAATGGTTCTTCCTCTTTTGAAACAATGGCGGAGGTGAAGGAGGCAGAGCATTTGATGCAGCTAATAGTGATACACCTGTGCTCGGTATGACTACTTTGAAGACCAATGTTCAAATTGAAGATGGTGTTATGTTGCTTCTTTAAGTTCCTCGATGCAGCAAACGGTGATGAAGGTAGAAAAACAAAGGGAGGAGCACCAACAGCTACAACCATCGTTTTCCCTGGGCTGCTAAAGCGTCTGCAACTAAACTATTAAAGGAAGATAAGCAAGATATGAGGTGAAACTCTTGATCAACAGGCACAAGATACGCTATAATAACTATAAAGGACACAAAAGAGACAGATTCCTCATCAGTTACAGATGCATTTCGATAAGAATACCATATTCAAGGAACATCCAGACTAGAACAAGGAAGTATGGCAATAAGAGAACCTTCCCTTCTTAATGAGATCAAGAACATTTAACGCATTAACGAATTAGAGAAAAAGCACAAAAGAATTAAGGAAATGCGTGCACGGTGAAATCTTATTAAAATATGAACACAAAATTGTGAGATGGTTTGCTCGACAGCCATGCAGCAAAGGCTGCATCAGCTACAAGTTTCAAAATATGTCATCAGCAACAAAAAAATGTCATCTACATCCAGCAATTAGAACAAAAAGTCCTTAGATGCCGGAAGTATCAACCCACTCATATTCAAATATGAGCTTTTAATTCTCATCTGGGCTGCATTATGAGAATAGTGTATAAACACAAGGAAAAAACCAGCAGATGCTGAAGTAAAGCATACAGTGCAATAAGAGCATCTAACATGAAAAAGTCAAGTCAGTTAAAAGGAGAGTTCAAGTAGCTTGAGACAACGGAAATCAAGCTTACAGGGCAAAAAATGGTATCCCAGAATTATCTTCTATAATAATGTATTTGTCAAACTCAGTGCATAAATGAGCAAACTATCTTAGGGATGTGATTCATTTTATGTTTGATTGGATAGACAAAATATTTAAACCAGAACGCATGCATAGTTAAACTCCTATTTTTCTTGTCTTTTTGGTTGCTGAAATCATTAATATATATGTCTGCATTCTTATAGTACTCACATTCAGACATCTTTCACTTCCCAAGATAAAGTCTTTTGAAACACTTTAAAATAACTGCTAATATCGAGCATAAAAAGTCATTAGTGAAGCTTGATCCTCTTCAAAGATTTCCAAAGGCATTCCAGTCCAAAATTGGCCAAATCTATTGCTTTAAGAACTTAAAGCAATCATGAGGGGCAAATTAAAATAAAAATCATCAGCGAATGAAAAGTGTAGAACTCAATTATAATGAACCCCAAATACCAAATTCTCCGCAGAAAAGAACCAAAATCATATTTACGCCGTAAAAATCTAAATCTTTCAACTTTAAAAAAAGGGTAGATGAAATGCTAGAACCAAACCGTAAGAGGAGAAAACCAGAGGGAGAGAGATGTGATTTTGGCAAGTACCTGCGATGAACTAACAACACTCACTTGGAACACTTAGAAATTAGAATTGAAGTAAGGAAGAAAAGGAAGCTATCGAAAAGCAAAATATCTGCATAGCTCTTCGTGTAGGCAGCAACAGTTCTATTACACAACAAGACAGAATAAAAAGGGTCTTGTGGGTGAAAGTTTGAGGTTGTCTTTAATTTGACACTAGTTCTTTTCTTTCTTTCTTTTTTTCTGTTCTTTCTTTCTTTTTTATTTTAACCCCATATGTTGTTTGCATTCTTACTTCGCCCTCCAGAGTTTCTATTATTTCACTTTTTTCTTTTCAGTTTGATACCACATATATATTTCTTCTTTGATTATAAACATATCATCGATCTGACAGCTACATTTTTAGCCTGGCGAAGTGTTGTATTCTGACTTTCTAATATATGTATTGGCAAAGTGTATATACTTATGGTCTAGTTTATTCTAGATCATATATTTCAAAAGTATTTTTTTTTATTTTAAATTTTATGTCCAGTCAAATACCATAACACAAATGGTATTTGAAGTGGTTCAAGGAACAATGAAGGCTGCGGTCAAAGAGTCTGCAAGGATTAAGATCGAGGAGTCATCAAAGAACGAGGTCGAGGTCAAATACCCTTGACAGGGTTATAACGGCTAGTTTCAAGATAGGACATTAAAGAAAATATTCTAATGGATATTCTCTGCGTTTGTACTATTAGGGTTTCTAGGAATATGTTCCCTATAAATAGAAAGAGACACAATGATAGGGGCCATGGGATATTCATTTGTAAAGAACATATTGACTTTATAAGAGAGAATCCGATCTTATCGCACAGACATAAAAATAACCATTTTTCAAGATTCTTGTCTCGCATTTCCCCCAGATCCAAGAATGACCCAAGTATTCAAAGGCTTATCAATCATTCATCATTGTCAAAAAGAATAACCACTAATCTCATCCATTTTCGGATGACTCACACATTTTATTTACCTAAATACCATTTATTGCTATTTATTACTATTTAATGTCATATTCTATTTTTTTGAATCATTGAATATTACTATCATTGCTCATATTTACTACCATCCGGGGAGAATATACTAGTTGTCTGGTCTTGACACACGTAGCTTTATCTTTTGGATATTATATTTAAGTAAGATTAACTCTTCATTATATAAATCTAATTGGTTGAGCTAAAAATAATAATGTTTTGTCAAACAGTTTGGCGCCGTCTGTGGGAATTTCATAGTTAAATTTTTTAGTTTCCTTTAGATCTATAACTAACGTGAGTCACTAACCTTACAAACCCCAAGATTCCCCCGGTCTACAGTTAATTTTTTAGTCTCCTTTAGATCAGCAGCTTTCTTTGCACGTACAAATACCTACATGGCAGGTAACCAAGGAAAAATGACTATAAGTAACAGGTGATTTTCCTAGCAACCTCATGAATGCTATCAACGAGAGCTGTGAAACACCAGGCGAGGACATGACGCCCACTGCCTCCCTTAGGCGCGAGAGGTCGCCTCCTCCCCATTGTAGTATGACAAAACCCAATGGAAAAGGGCCTCCACGTCCACAGAAGAAGGGATGCCACCGGCCATGAAAAAACTCCTCGAAGCATGGCTGACCGATACGCTAGTAAGCGTGCTCAACAAGCCCACTCCAGGCACAACTACAGAGACCGCAAGAGCATGCACATTACAACGAGCAGACGAACAAAGCAACTGACTAGACCCTCCAACACTAGGTATAACTCACAATATTACTAACAGTACAGGTGATAGCGCCCTCGACATTGTTCTAAAGAGGATGGAGGAAATGGAGAATGAAAATAAAGCACTCACGGACCAAATGAAAGAACATCAAGAACGATTCGACAAGATACCAGGCGCTCCTAAGCTTTTTCCAAAGAGGGACGTCGCAGGTTCATAGAATAGCAGTACAGCAAAGAAGCAGCCTCGCATGCCATACCAAAGACCTTCAAAACGCCGCCATACCTCAGGATATACGACAGAACGACCGATCTCGAAGATCATGTGATTCATTACATCACTGCCGTGAAATGCAATGACCTCACCAAGGAACAAGTGTCCTTTATATTGCTGAAGAAGTTTGGTGAAACCTTTATGGGAGGGGCATTAACATGGTACTCACACCTACCAGCTCGCTTCATAGAAACTTTTGAGGAAATGGCCGATAAGTTCGTAACGACACATGCCGGAGCCAAGAAGGCCAAAACAATGGTAAATGACATATTCGCCATCAAGCAGTCCATGGGAGAAGGACTGAGGGATTTCCTCACCCAATTAAATAGGGTAAGGATGAATCTGCCGAAAGTGTCCGAGGGGATAGCGGTCGTGGCCTTTCAGAACGGGTTAAGTAGAGATAGTTCGAGAGCAACAAGAAAACTGTTGAGTCGATTGATAAAATATCCCCCAACCACTTGGGACAGGATCCACAATGCTTACTGTGCTGAAGTCCAAGAAGATGAGGACGGCCCCAACGACCAACCTATCGTCTCATCTCAGTACAAGCCGGGTACAGAAAAGAATGAAGAGACAATATCAGTAAGGATCACCCGGTCTCACCACCCAACAGGGAACGAAACCAACAATATGTCAGGGGCCACGCCCCCCTTCCCTACGCTACGAAGAAGGCCTATCCATGTCGAGGACATGGATTCACTGGAACGAGAGAGGATGCCCCCTTTATTATTTGCTCACAATTTTTGCGTATCACCTATAGAAATAGTCTGTGCTCTGGAGAAACTCGAAACGAAGGTAAAGTGGCCGCCAAAGATGAGGTCCGATCCGAGCACCAGAAAATCCGACGTCTTATGCGAGTTCCACCAGGAACGTGGGCACAAAATAGAAGATTACATCACCCTCAGGCAAGAAGTTGTGAACATGTTGTGGAAGGGACACCTCAAAGAGCTGTTAAGCGACAAGGGGAGAAAAAACTTCGCTAGAGGACATGAAAACCAAGGTTCGGCGATGCCGCCATCACCAGCTCGTACTATCAACACGATCATCGGCGGCAGCGATGACGCCTCTATCAACGGTATTAAATTCACCACCACTCACAAGCGATCTATCACCCGTGAACGGTACGACAGACTCGAAGAAAGTATCATCTTCGACGAGTCAGATGCTGACGGTTTGACTTACCCTCATAATGATGCCCTTGTCATTACTTTGCGCACTTTAGATACTGATGTCAAACACATCATGGTGGACGATGGAAGTGGAGCATGTATTATCCATCCCCGATTCCTCACCCAAATTAGACTCAAGGACAAGATAGTGCCGCGCTACATCACGCTTATCGATTTTAATAATGCAGTTGAGCGGACATCGGGAGAAATTACACTCCCCGTATTGGCTGGCGGCATGACGCTGGAGACGACATTACACATCATGGACCAGGCCACCACGTACAACGCCATAGTAGGACGACCATGGATACATCCCATAAGAGCTATCCCCTCCAGCCTATACTAAGTAATCAAATTCCTTACACCTTGGGGGATATTCAGAATATGTGGAGAACAACATACATCCCGGTAGTGCTACCGTATTGATTTGGACAACACAACAACCCAATAGAAAGAAGACAAGGAAAAAGAGGCATAACAATCAGTAGGGCTAAGGACAACACAAAAAAAGACTACGGACGTCATCATGGATCCCGAAATGATAGAAGATGCGGATACAACCATAGAAGACCTCGACCCCATTAAATTAGACCCCAATGACTGTAGGAAAAAGGCCCACATCGGTTGCAAACTCCGAGAACTAGGTAAATTCAGTCAATTCTTGATAGTTAATGCAGATTTGTTTGCCTTCAGCCATGCAGACATACTGGGCATCCCCATGGATATCGCCACACACAAATTAAATGATGACCCATTCTACCCCCTAGTAAGGTAGGTCAGGCATAAATTAAACTCCGCTATCAATAATGTCGTTCGCAAAGAGGTGGAGAAATTATTAGAAAATGGCTCTATCAGGGAGTCAAAGTACCCTAAATGGATCGCCAACATAGTGATGGTCAAAGAGAAAAATGGAAAATGGTGAATGTACGTGGATTTCAAGGACTTGAACAAAGCAAGCCCAAAGGATTCGTTCTAGTTACCACATATCGACCAACTTATTGACGCAATGACAGGGCACGAGTTATTGAGTTTCTTGGACGCGTACTCAAGCTATAACCAGATACTTATGGAAGAATAGGACCAGGAGAAAACCATGTTCATCACCCACCAAGAAACGTATTGTTATAGGGTCATGCCATTTGGGCTGAAGAACGCGGGGGCTACATATCAAAAGTTGGTCACGAAGATGTTCAAAGATCAGCTTGGCAAGACCATGGAAGTATATCAACGACATGCTGATCAAGTCCATAAGAGCAGAGGACCATATCGACCATTTAAAGGAAATGAAACTAAATCCGGAGAAATACGCGTTTGGCGTATCCTCTAGGAAGTTGGTGGGCTTCTTAGTGTCACAACGAGGGATCGAGGTTAACTCGGACCAAATCAAAGCTATTGAAGGGATACCAGAGCTCCTGACTACGAAAAATCAAGTCCAAAGGTTGACTGGTCGAATCGCCGCTTTATCGAGATTCATATTGCGATCGTCCGACATATGTCATAAAATTTTCGGTGTGCTCAAAAAGGACAACATCCTCGAATGGACACCCGAGTGCATACAAGTTTGTGATAACTGAAGGCATATCTGTCATCACCACCCCTACTTTCATAGCCCGAACCCGGAGAACATCTCCTCGTCTACCTGGTCGTCTCCGAAGTAGTAGTAAGCGTGGTCCTAATACAAGAAAATAAAGGTACGCAATATCCCATCTATTATATTAGCAAAACACTCGTCGACGCCAAGATGATGTACCTGCACCTCGAGAAACTGACATTGGCACTATTCATAGCTTCACGAAAGCTTAGACCCTATTTCCAGTGCCACCCTATCTCGGTCGTTACCACATTCCCCCTGATAGGCATTTTACAAAAACTCGAGCTATCAAGGAGACTGGCCAAGTGTGACATCGAGCTAAGCGAGCACGATATCACATATCAGTCGCAAATGGGAATAAAGTCGCTAGTGCTCGCTGACTTCATCGCAGACTTTAGTGTAAAGATAATGACCGAAGTTGTGAAGGAAGTCATCTAAGTTTATCTCCAAACACAAGACCTCTGGGTCCTATATACTGACAGTGCATCCAATGCTTCTCGATACGGACTGGGACTTGTGCTCTAGGTCCCTACATGCGAAATAATTTGCCATTCCATAAGGTGCCCAGATATGACTAACAACGAGGCCAAGTATGAGGCCGTAATTGCAGGATTGAAGCTAGCACTCAAGTACGGGGCAAAGCGGTTGAAACTCCGCTGTGATTTCCAACTCGTGGTCAACCAAGTTACAAGGACTTTCCAAATTAAAGAACAAAGATTGCAAAAATATCAGATTGAGATCTGTAAGCTACTGCCCGAGTTCGACGAATGCAGATCGACCAAATCCCGCGGGCATAGAATGCTGAAATAGACGGCTCACCAAATAGGTCGCAGCTACCAAAAGCATCACAACCGGAGATAAAAGTGTAGCCCACATCCTCAACTCATCACTAGACCAAATGGAGGTAAGATTTGTAAGCTTAACTTGGGATTGGCGCAATCATATTATCGCCTATTTGCAGGACGACACACTCCCAAACGACAACAAAGAAGCCAAGAAACTAAGAATGCAAGCAGCCAGATACAGTCTCCTCTATAGTGACCTGTACAACAGCACTTATGGAGGCCCTCTGGTGAAATTCTTAGGCCCAAACCAGACCCAACGCGTCCTCGAAGAAGTCCATGAAGGCCATGGCAGTGCTCACTTTGGAAATCGAGCAATCGTTAGATGTCTCATACGGGCGGGATACTATTGGCCCATCGTGTAAAAGGACGCCTCAGAATTTGTAAAGAAATGTGAACAATGCCAGAAGTACGACCTCAATGATTTACCAAGCAGGCAAACACCTCCACTCAGTCACATCTCTGTGTCTTTTCATCAAATGAGGAATGGACATCGTGGGCCCCCTTCTAGCAAGGCGAGGTAATGTACGATTTCTTTTGGTTTTAACTGACTATTTCTCTAAATGGGTAGAAGAAGGTAATCACCTTCATATGGAGAAACACCATCTGTCGATTCGGCTTACCCAAGGAGATCGGTTGCGACAACGAACCCCAGTTCACTGGAAAGAAAACCGCTGAATTCTTCAAGAAATGGCATATTAATAGAATAGTCTCGACCCCGTATCACCCGACGGGTAACGGGCAGGCAGAATCCTCCAACAAGTCCATATTAAACATTATGAAGAAAAAGCTAGAAGACGCCAAGGGACTGTGGCTGGAGATACCGCCAGAAGTATTATGGGCGTATAGAACTACCCCGAAGACGAGCACATGAGAGACTCCCTACTCTTTGGTCTATGGGACCAAAGTAGTTATACCAGTAAAAGTCGGAGAGCCCATCCTAAGATACTCCTACAAAAGCGGTACTAGTAATGATGAGAGTAGAAGGTAGGAACTCAATGAAATCGATGAACAAAGAGATATGGCGTACATAAGGATGTCACCCGAAAGCAGCAAGTAGAACGTTATTACAATCAAAAAGCAAAAGTCCGGTCGCTCAAAGTCGGGGACTACGTACTCAAATCAAAAAGTCAAGCAAGCAAAAACCCACGAGAAGGCAAGTTGGGGACAAACTGGGATGACCTGTACAAAATTACAGCCAAAGCGAACAAGGGTTCATTCTAATTAGAGACAATGGAAGGAAAGCAACTACCGAACAATTGGAACATCAACCACCTCAAATACTTTAACTTGTAAGGGAAGAAGGGTCTGAGAGTCGCACTCTTTTACCCTTACTTGAGTTTTGTCCCATTAGGGTTTTCTCAAGGAGATTTTTAATGAGGCGACAATGAGAACACTTCAGGTCGAAGTATGCGAGGGAGGGGCTATTTTTTCTCTTTCATTGCCCGACTCCTCAATACTCTCCAAGTCAAGCGATGAAGGGACTAGATAGACTGGGACTGGGACCGGAACGCCAGCCAATACCCAAAAAATTTGTAACTCTCTCAAATCATGTAATCAAAGGAACAACATCAAAGTAATAAGAAAATTACATTCATCATAAGCGCTTATAGGCCCTCATCCACGACTAACAAAAGGTTATGTTTGATCCCGCTTGAATAATACCTATCGACCCTCGTCCACGACTTACCTATGTTTATGTTCGACCTCACTCGAATAACACCTATTGGCCCTCGGCCATGACATACAAAAGGTTATGTTCGACCACGCTTGAACAATACCTATCGGCCCTCGACCGCGATTAACAAAAGGTAATGCTCGACCCCGCTCGAATAACACCTATCGGACCTCGGCCACAATTACATAAGGTTATTCTCGACCAAGTTCGAACAACACCTATCGGCCCTCTGCCACGACAAAGATAAGGTCATGTTCGAACCGGATCGAATAACTCATATCGGCCCTCGGCCACGATTAACATAAGGTTATGCTCGACCAAGTTAGGACAACACCGACCGGCCCTCAGTCAAGATTAATAAAAGGATAAGTCCGACCAAGTACGAACAACACCTACCGGTCCTTAGCCGCGATTTAAAGAAGTAAGAATTCGAACAAGTTTGAATAACACGTATCGGCCTTCGACCACGTTTGAATAAACTTTGATATATACAAGGATAACGACAAAAGCATGAAGGAGCAAAACACGCAAAGTACAAAAACAAACCACAAAAAATAAGAAAGGTGCAAATAAAAGCAAAACCCAACTCTAATATTTATAGACAAATGTCTCTTACAAAGTCTCTTGAAGACGCCAACAAAAATACATAAAAACCTCAGAAAAAGCAAAACAATTACTGTTGACCACTACCAACATGACCAGCGACACCCTCATCGGCCTGACCCACAACACCCCTCTCCATCCTTTCTCAGAGGTTATATAGAATCATACCAGGCCTCGTCCTCAAGGCGATCTATAGCATCCTTTCTATCCTCATCTTCTTTACCGGGATGAGGCATAGTCGGGTCATGACCACAAGCAATCCGATCCTCCCGAGCCTTGACACGAGCATCCTCAAAGTCCGCGGTAGGAATGGAGCCAGTCACAAACAACTCACGAAGCACATCCTTTCGAGCCTCGGCATGAATCCACTCTTCGTACACTCACAAGGAATGTTAGGGAAGCCAGAAGCTGCAGATGAAGAAGGTCGTTCAAGTAGTTTGGCCTTATCAGCCTCCAGAGTAGCGACCCGGTCATAAAGATCAGGGGTTTCTTTATCCAACTACCCAATCCTTTCATCAAGCTACTCTACTTTAAACCTTGCCGTCGACAAGTCATTTTCTCACTCAGAATGACGAGTTCGGTTCGCCACTTCAAGGGACTCCGCCCTCCTCTAAGCTTCTAACCGAGCAGAC